GCAGTTCAAATAAGCTGTTCAAATAGTGCATGTAAAGGAGACTAGCTGAAATCGTTGGAGGCCATGGTGGTAGCAGTAGCAAGGAAAGGATGGAAGAAGAGGAGAAACAGCAGTGGCTTTTGTTGCTATGGCTTCTGTTGCTATTGCTTGATATTAGTAGTAGGTCTGACTATCCTTATGTTTCAGTCCATGGCTTTTATAGCACAGAAAACCATGACACTGGGGTGAATCTGTGCAGTCTTCAGCTCACGCTATGTGCTGTGGGATTCCCCCTTGCCTAGAAATGGCAGAGATATCTGGGGCCTGCAGTAGTAACGTGGCATCTAGGTGGTAAAACAAACCAATTCCCTTTGTCAAAGTAAAAATCTAAGTGCTTTGTAGAGGTAAAAATCCGCCTTTCCCTAATCTTATGGGGGACACCTGGAATGTCTGGGGGAGGGAGGTGAATTTTTTTGCAAAAGCCTAATGCTTTTCTTTTAAAAGCATAGATGGACAACTGTGGCAATCTTATGAAACGGCATGAATAAAAATGCAAGTAATCCCAACTGGAATCTGCACCTCCTCCATGTCTGTAGTTTTTCTCTTTTTAGGTCTTTTCCTTTTTACAAAGCCTTTAGCTGTAGGTTTCCAAGATGTAGGAACGTAAGATTAGTGTGCAATGTATAGAGATAGCGGTTTCTTTATCCATCAGAAAATAGATAGGACAAGTTATTAATTTCCTCCCGTCTCGGTACTTGCCCTCAGCAAGGCAGTACATCTCCAAGTTGAATTCTCTCTATATGAGTCCATACTTAGCAATTCATAGGAGTTCCCTGGATTTGTGAGTATTTAGCCAGCTTATTGTCCATTTTCCTTGTTACTGTTGAGCTTAAGTAGGAAGTTGAAGAGAAGGGTCCCTTTCGGTTCTTTCAAGACCTTCAAACTGGCCAAAGGTAATCTGTCTCTATCCCTTGTTCACCCTTGCTGATGCTGCTGGTAATGGCTTTAACCTCCATGCCAAGTTGTTGATTTCATTAATAAGCCAGGCAGGCTGCCTTCATTACCGGCATGTCTAACTGCTGCTGCTTGCGGGTGGCAGCAGTCTGGTAGTGAACTCTGAAACTCCACCCACTTGGTGGGAATGGATGGATTTTGGGTTCCTGAATGGAAGTCAATATGGAGTGCTGCCTAATTTTTAATCTTCCTTTGCATAATTGCATATACCACTGCTGCTGCATCATGTCAGAACATAGTAAGGTCTTGAAGTAATTCCTATGGGAGGGTGTTTGACTGACCTCTCATGTGATGTGTGCTTTGCTAATTCCACTGATTGGTGTCTTTTTGAGGAGTTTGCATTATTAAAATGGAACAGAAGTGTAAATCTGTGGTCTGATAAAGGATTGCTGCCATCCTTGGATGAATTTTTGAGATTGCGTAGTTCTGAACTGAGCTGCCAGAAGAGATCAAGGGTTAAAGCTTTTTTGCAAGCAGCTTGCTTTTCCAACCTGGCTTCTTCAGTGAGGTTGCTTCTTTTATAGCTTGGATCAGAGGAATGGTTTGTGGGTACTAGGGACGGGTTTCATCTCTTAATTTGTCTAGTTTTATTTATTGTTTGTCAGAAGACAGTAAGATTCAGAGCAGAGCTCTTGAAGGTCTTGACCTGAGTGGTGCTGTGGAAGTGCTGTTGAACCTAGAGCAGGTGAGGTGGCTGATATGGAGGGATCATAGACAGTTTGGTAAGCAAAAAAAGAGCCAATTGTGTACTCCATGTGCTCAGGTTAGTTATGGCATTACTCTTCATCTAAATTTCCAGTTCCTGATATGTACATGTAATACAGTAAATTTTAAGGTGATGTTTATTATGTCTAGAAGCCTAGATATGGAGTAAGAAAGTGAAATTTGTAATTCGTATTACAATTTCAAATTGGTTTTTTATCCTTCAATAAGTTTCACTACAAAAATGCGGGCTTGCCATGGACATGGGCCTGAAGAGATGCTTTGTCAGCTGGTTTGTTTTATTTTAGCACTGGGAATTTGGCTTCCACGTGCTATGTTTATGTAATAACCAGCATGTCATTTGGCGAGGAGCTCCCCAGACTGCTAGGGGCTAAGATTTATGCAACATCGCATCATCACATGCGCTGTTCTTTAATGAATGTTGGCATGATAACATGCAGAGTACACTTGGGTTTGGATGCACCCTGAAATGGCTAATCTATTAATTTCACTATTTATATGTGATATGGCCTATATAAAGCTTTATTCCACAGTATGATTTAAAACAGAAGTACTGCTAAGTGTGTATTAGTCCAGATTTATATATATGCAGAAGACACTTCAGTCATAACTAAAAGACGTATATAGAAGTGCTCAGCAAGTCATATTTATTTTGAATGTATCCAAGCTGGACAATCTGCAAAAGCCAGCTGGGTCGGTGTGTCCAGGAGAAGGGTGGTCACTGTGCCTTTAAAGGATTCCTGTCTGGTTATTTTTCTTCTGCTCTCCCACTTCAGAGCTGACTGACTTAATTTAAAGTTAAAAGTCAATGTCGTGTACATCCTCTGTGATGTTGCATTTAAATCAACTTTGTTTTTATGGTAAACAGATTAAAACAACATTAACTTTTAAACTGAAGCTGTAGCATCCTACCAGATAACGTTAGGTCTACCAAAGTTATTAATTGTTCTGGAGGGTTTTTTAAAGGGATTTGCCACAACGTGCTAGTTTAATGTAAACGAACTAATCAAATGGTTTGCTCTGTTTCTTGGGCTCTTCAGGAAAGTGTTTTTAAATAAAAAAAACCCGCACCAAGAGGTTCAGTTCTTTTGAACTGCTGAGCTTTCAGTATGATTCTGAAGCTAATATTAGAAGTTAAATATTTGTAGTTTTCATAATAATATAATAAATGAACTAACAAATAAATAGAGAACAGGTAGGTATGAAAAAGGACCTGCCAAGTGTAGAAGGAGGAATCAAAACCATTTGTCTTAAGTTAGTGGCTGTGTAGAAAATGAATTTTCTACTGCAATAATTTTTCTGTTTCTTCCCTTTCTACAGGCGTCTGATCACAGATTCCAAGGTTAAATTAAAGTACCAGCATTTAATAACCAATAGTTTTGTAGAGGTGAGTTTTTATTTGAAATTTTTAGTGGCTTTTAAGTTGTTTTTGTCTTGCACGTGTACCAAACCAGAGAAGTGAGGCTTGTTTATAACTGTAGAGCAGGTTTTTTCACATAATCTCTAATCAAAGTGTGGCTACAAGTTAGAGGCTTTGCAGGGGTGATTTTATAGCCTACAGCCTGATTTTATAGATAGAGAGAACACAAGTTGTTCAATATATACAGGTGCTTTTAGCAAACTATTAAGAGCTTTGCAGCCTCAAAATCAAAATAAACTTGAAGAAAGGAACTTTAGAAGATTTTTTACACTGTCCCAATTTCTCAGTTGTATGTGTTCAGATTCGCTGTTGAGCCCAGTAGTAAGTTAGTTGTTACTGGGATCAAGCTTTCACTCCTTGTTCGAAGTGATGTATGCAGTGGTCTTTGGGGTGGTTTTTGCATTGGTTTGTTTTTTGGCAACACTGGAGCTAAGCATGTGTCGCAGACTGAAAGACTTGACAAAAGTCTAGCAACGCAGACCCATACCTGGCTGCAGTACAGCAGGAACAGGTGATGAGATGATGTTCAAGGGGAGTTAGAAAACGGTGCTTGTAGAAAGCTAGTGTACATGGTTCGTGAACAGTTCAGAAAGGCTGTTGCAGCGGTGGAACAGAGATGGGAGTTGCAAACAACTTGACAGATGCCTTTTTCAGTCTCATAGATTCGTACTCTTCAACTATTTCTCTCTGGGTGAGCTACGAGGTCAGCAGAAGTGTTTACGCTCCTCATCTTTCCTAAGAGGCCGTCTGACAGTGAAGAGTTGACTGTCATCTTCCTGCTTGCTTTCAGTAGAAAGAAAGTAAATGCATTGAGGAGGCAGCATTCTTATTGCAGAGGACTGGTGAGATAGGAAGGAATGTGACTGAAGGTCATGGTTGAAAGGATAAAAAAAGGGATGAAGGGCAGGTAGCATCCTTGTGCAGCATCCTTTTTCTATTATGTTTGTGTGTTTTTTGCTTTATTTCATAGTGTAATCGACTGTTAAAATGGTGTCCTGCTCCAGATTGCCACCATGTTGTTAAAGTCCAATATCCTGATGCTAAACCCGTTCGCTGCAAATGTGGACGTCAGTTTTGGTAAGAACAATCAAGTAAGATGTTGATACTGCTTTTTACTTACTACTTTGAAAGTGTATTGGTATGTATTACGTAAGTCTTTATGTTGGGATGCGGTTTAGATGGTGGGAGGAGGATGGGGTGGGCTTCAGATGGTAAGCCAGGATTAAGTACAGCTGGTTGCAAAGCCCATCACTATGTAGTTGTTGCTTTCTGTCTTGGGCTTCATTTGACATGGAGCAGCTTTTGCTGAGAGACGGCCTTTAGCTGAGTGGTTTCAGATTAGGTGAGGTTCTTGACTGCAGGCAGTGTAGAAAATCAAAATGTATTGAGATATATACTGCTCTGCAATGGGCATTGAGGGATTGGAGGGTTCGGGTGGGGGTTTTTTTAATGGCATGTTTAATGTTTCCTTAGGAGTAGCTTTGGTCTTTCAGCAGAACAATCCAGAAGAAAACTTCCATGGTGTTAACCTAGTCCAATAAAAGTATAATCATCTGCCCTAATTACTTATTTTTCCCTTTCTTTCACTTACAGCTTTAACTGCGGTGAAAACTGGCATGATCCTGTTAAATGCAAGGTGAGTGTATCAAAAAGTTCTTTTCCATCACAGAACGGTTTAGGTTGGAAGGGACCTTAAAGATCACCTGGTTCCACCCCCCTGCCACGGGCAGGGACACCTTCCACTAGACCAGGTTGCTCCAAGCCCCGTCCAGCCTGGCCTTGAGCACTGCCAAGACAGGATTACAAAAGAAATCCACGCTTCTATTTCATGTATTCAGTGCAATGGATTCAGTTTGGCTGGGGGGGGGGAACAAAAG